TAACTGCTTATTTCTATCAGGCACTCAAAAACCGACTCTCCTCTTCACACACAGATTCCTAACTGTCATTTTTAAACTCCCTCACTCTTAACTGCCTCTTTCAGAACCTTGGCTCCGCCCCTTTGGAATGTTCAGCTCTGCTCTCCCCAACTGTCATTTTGGCCTAGCAGCCTTTTCAAATCCTGGGCCTACACTAATCTGCACATGACCAATCGGCTTCATATATGCAAATGAATCCTATCTCTGCTGTTGCTACCCTGTCTGTGCCTATTTTTCCCCATCTGACATGTGTAAACATAGAGCTATACACCAAAACTTTAACAGAGAGTAGCAATTTCACTACAATGACCATCTGTTGGGGGGTGCTTTGAATGCGATTTTCCTGCTTCTTGGCAGAATGGGGTTGGACTGGATGGCCCATGAGGTCTCTTCCAACTCTAGGATTCTATGATTCTATCTATTTTTGGCTCTGATTTGTAAACAAAGACTTTTACTGATTTCCGTAGCTCCAGAACTAGCTCTTCACTCAATTCCTTATCTGCTGTTGCTACTTCTGACTCCCCTGAATGCACTTTTTGAGCTATTGGATTCTATGATCCTCACCACCCTAACCTTTGTCTAAAAACCAAGTTTGAAAAGCAAGAGGGGTGGGGAGAAATTTGAATTCGAAGTTGCAGAATTGGGATCCAAATTCTGCTCCTCTTACCGATAAAAGAGGGCTGGAAGAGAGTCTCTGGGCACCGGAAACGTTCGTTGCCGATGGTGATCACTTGCCCATCAGGAAGCTCATAGCTCTTTTCCAGAGAAGAGGAGGAAGCGGCGGTCGCCATCTCATTCTCAAAGTCCAAAGCCACATAGCCCAGTTTCTCCTTGATGTCTCGAACAATCTCCCGTTCAGCTGTGGGAAGATAGAAAATGATCTGATGCCGTATATATAATAATAATAATAATAATAATAATAATAATAATAATAATAAACTATTTGTACCCAGCTACCATCTCCTGGAGGACTCGGTGTGGCTTACAAGAGGCCAAGCCCAAATACAATAGTCAACAATAACAACAACATCAAAAAACTCAAAAAATAAAGCAATAACATTAACAACACACAATGATGCAATTAAAAACAATGGCAGGACCAAATGTAATGATAAAGTTAAAAGTGCTGGGCATGACAGGTGGGGTGTTTGGAGGAGGGTAAGGTAAAGGTAAAGGTAGTCCCCTGACATTAAGTCCAGTCATGTCTGACTCTGGGGTGTGGTGC